TAAGATATTTTTTTACTAAAATTTTTCTTAAATTCTACTCTACAAAATAGCTATCTTAGATTTTTTTTTTACATTTTATTTAAAATTTAAAAATAATTAATATTTTTAATAAAATGTAAAAAAATTAATTATTGAGATATAGCTATAGACCTAACGTATAACTATTATTTAAAAAAAAAATCAGCTAAAAATATTAACTGGATCAAAAGTTATTTAAGTTGTCAGTGAGTGGTGGGCCACCCTGTATTTTAATTACTATTAAAACTTATATTTAATACGCTATATTCTCATTAAGAGATATATAGTGTATTTATTCCGATTACGGGGAATGATTGCCGTATTGTCATTTTTCGTCACTACCTCCACGTTGCACGCTTGCTGCTTTCCTTGGATGTGGTAGCCGTTTCTCAGACTCCCACTCCNATAGCCGTTTCTCAAACTCCCTCCCCGGAATCGAACCCTGATTTCCCTTTACCCGTTACAACCATGATATTGATAGTAATTACTATCATAATATGTAACTAAAAAGTGAAAAATAATTTTTATAATAAGCTTAAAACAATAATGTAGGAAAAGTACTAGTATTATTGTGATAAAAGCGTGGGTGCTTTGTGCCATATTTTTCGTATATTGAGCGACCGACGCTTTTATCACAATAATACTAGTACTTTTCCTACATTATTGTTTTAAGCTTATTATAAAAATTATTTTTAACTTTTTAGTTCGATGTGCTTTAAAAGCGTGTTTTTTAGTTTTTTTAAACTATATTTATTTTTTANCACGCTTTTAAAGCACATCGAACTAAAAAGTTAAAAATAATTTTTATAATAAGCTTAAAACAATAATGTAGGAAAAGTACTAGTATTATTGTGATAAAAGCGTGGGTGCTTTGTGCCATATTTTTCGTATATTGAGCGACCGACGCTTTTATCACAATAATACTAGTACTTTTCCTACATTATTGTTTTAAGCTTATTATAAAAATTATTTTTAACTTTTTAGTTCGATGTGCTTTAAAAGCGTGTTTTTTAGTTTTTTTAAACTATATTTTTATTTTATATAATTTAAAGAGTATACAGTAATAAGTTTTAAATTATCGATTCTTTATTGTTTTTTGTTTATGTGTGTATTTGTTATACAATTTAGTATTAATAAAAAACTTTATTGTAGAATCGATCAACTTATTATTGAACAAAATTACAAATATTAAAAAAAAAAATAATAGTTAACAATTAAAACTACAATATTCGAAAGGAAAATTATTTTCAAAAGTAATTCCTGATGTATTATAAATTTTAAGTCGAAATAAATATTACCAAAAAAAAATTAGAAGGATACTAGAGGGACACTACTCCCTCCTTTTTAACACGCCAATGAAGCTTACATTAATTTCTAAAAAAATCAGTTAAATTAATAATTAAAGTTTTGTACAATAATTTATAAACATTTTCGGAATTTATCGATTTTTAAACAAAAAGTGAATTTTTTTCTTTAATTTTAAAGTCCGTTTTCATCACGAAAACAACTCTTAAAGACAATTTTTATTTTGTTTTAAATTAAGTATATTACATAAGTTTTAATTTTTTCAAAAAAAAAAATTTAAAAAGTTCAACTTTTTATATAAATTTTAAATTTTATTATAATAGAAGTTTAAAAATGTTAAAATTTACAATCGAAAAGATGTAATTTTTTAGGAATTTTCTCCATCTACGGGTAAAGGGGGAAAATTATTCAATTTTTGATAGCAATATATCGAATCTAAAAGAAAAAATAATTAAACATATCTTTTTTTATAGCATTTATTATTTTTAAAATAGTTACAATCATTGTAGTAAACCTTTATTGATAGCAGTAACAGTAATACAATTAAAAGTAATACAATCCTCTATTATTAATACTAATTAAAACAGAAAAATTACCTCAAAAAGTTATTATTTCAATTGATTGGGAATATTTCAACTCTTTTGAGGTATGTCTTCAAGATTTTTAATTTTTTCAATAATATTAATTATTCACTTATGCCTATTATAATTTACAATATAAAAACACAATATAGGCTTAGAAAGTAACTCACTTATATTTTTAAATATTAAATTTTAAAAATATAATTAAAATAGTAATTAATAAACACTAATTTTATTTAGTATATTTTTGTTTTAATTAGAAACTAAAATATAATTAAACAAATAATCAAAAAAATGTTAAAACATTATAACATAAAAGTCAATATAGTATAATCGATACTTAAAATATACTAAATACTAGTAATCATTCAGTATCAAATTTATAATTAAGATAATAATGATTAAAATCATTTTGTTATTTAAGGGGGGAGCATAAAATTATTATAATCAATGATATTTTAAAAACGAAGGTTTAAATTTTGTGAAGCAAGACGAATTTTATTTATGTATCAGTAGCTATATTGACATTGAAGTAGCTGTTAGAATGAACGGGTAATTACAACATTGAATATTTGAAGACCTTATTTCCAAAACTAATATGTACCAAATAATTAAAAACAATATTATAATTTAAAACCTTGTGATAATTTATAGATTTTATTTTGTCTTGAAAGAAATTTAGTAACTTACTATTTAATTCATAAAAAAATAATCATTATGTTGTTTCATACAATGTTATTGAATAATTTCCGTAATATACTTAATATTTACTAATTGAAATTAGATGTTCAAATTAAAATTAAAATTTCATTTTTTATTAAAATAAAACCTCAAGCATTTGATTGAATTCAAAACATGTGTTTTCATTTGTAAAAACAAGTTGATACTCTTACAAGGCAGAAGAGATGAACTTATTAATTATTACATAGCTAATTATTCAAGAATAATATGTAACTAAAGGTAATCAAGAAAAAAATGTTTAAATTATTTTAATTATGTAATTGAGTGGGTTATAATAAAAAAATTACTTTGTATACTGGACTGGTCAATCACCAATCTTTTCTCGTATATTGTTCATCTGATGAATGGTCAACTTTTAATATTTAATTTTGGTTGCGCCAATTGCCCCATTAAAACTTAAAAGGTTAAGTGAATAGTATAACAATAAAACTAGAAATATAGAAAGCTTTTTAAAAGGAGTTAGTCACTCCTTAAATAAATTTTATTTTTAATAGTTTATAAAATCCACATATTTTTTCCCTAAATATCTTTACCGTTTATGCTCATTTATATCCTGAAGCAATCTGTACTCAAAATTAGTATATAAAATAGCGATAGTCTCGTAATATTTCTAAAAATATAGTCACGTTTTATATGATAAATACATTAAAAAAATGAAATTAAGGTTTTAAATTTTTGGACCGAAGATTATTTTCTTTTAATAGCTATTGATAAAATAAAAAAATGTATTTTTGGATGTTAAAATTCAAATTTTGCCTAATAATAATTAATAAACTTTGAAATTTACAAACCTAAAATTGAAATCTATTACTGAAAGGAATCCATTAAATTTAATACTTTTATATGGTCACGCATATTTTTTTTAAATATACTTTTATTATGCTTCTTTCATGTTGTTTTAATAAAATCTTATAGGTATAATAATAAAATACATTATTTATAATATCAAGTTTTGTGCACCATGTTATATATTACACAAATATTCTATATTTTCAATTATAAATAAAAAAAGAAAATGCTAATTTTTAAATACCTAACCTTTGTTGAAAAAATAAAATACTTCAATACTAATATTATCTTACAATATAAAGAATAATAAATTTTAGTTAAATTTTACTGACTTTTGTTTTTTTTTATAAGTCTTTATATAAAATTTCACAAATAAATATAAAAACAATACACAGTCTAGTATTAAATACATCATAAATACTTTTGAAAAAGTGCAATCGTAAATATATAATGATATAAAATATGTTATTACCATTACAAACTGAATCTAGAAAAAAGATAAATCTATGTTATTATAAAGTTTTTCTAAATAAATAAAACAATTTATAGGAGTTATAAATTCTCGCAAAAAATTAATAACATGGTTTTTAGAGCGCGAACGAACGGTATGATATTACTGATATGAAATATTATTTATCAGTAAATAATATCCCACTGGATTTTTTATCCACAGGAATATTATTTACTGATATAAGAATACTTTAACAGCCACTCTACCAGTTGTACAAAGTGAATAATGAGGTTGCGTCAGGTCGAATGCCAGCATAAAATTTTGTCAAAAGGTATGAGGATTTAGGAACAGAACTTAAGTGGATTGTTCCATTTCGGATGTACACAGGTGAAAGAAAATAAAGTAATTAGAGACGGAAAAGGCCTAAAGTGTTTTATACAAGACAGACAACTTGTGCGGTAATTGTTTCACCAGTTAGGTGTACAGGCTTACCTAACACTTGCAGTGTCAACGGTATAGGGCATCATCACTTATCTCTAAGTTGGATTCGTGTATAAAAGGAAAAGGTAGATACAAAGTAAGAATAGGTACGTGGAATGTTGAAACATTAACTGGTTAACATTCCAACTGGAAGAGGAAAAAAGTTAAAATTTGTTGTGTGCAGGAAACTAAGTGGAATGGAGAGAAAGCAAGGGAAATAGGCGAGGGTTATAAAATAATAGACTCAAATAAAACCAATAAAAAATGGTGTAGGGATAAATGGATGATAAGATGAAAAGTAAAGTAATAGAAGTAGCTAGGAAATGTGATAGAATTAAAGTCGTAAAGTTAATTTTCGAAGATAAAGTGTTGAATGTAGTATTTTGAGAATGATAGACGAGGTGATGCAAGGAAACCTGGTAATGAGGATACGGTGATAGGTGGAAATATAAATGGACATGTCAGTAATAATAGAAGAGTATATGAAAGAGTACATGAAGGGTATGGGTTGAGTGGGAAGAATAAGGCTGGAGAAAGAATTCTGGATTTTGCAGTATCGTATAATCTTGCTGTGGTCAATACTTATTTTAGAAAAAGGGAAGAACATTATATTACTTATAAAAGTTTGAGTAATAGATCATAAATCGATTATTTTATATGTAAAATAGATAGTGTACAGCGAATACAAAATTATAAAGTTTTTCCAAGCGATAGTGTAACTACACAAGATAGACTTATAAAAGAGTTAAGGTGTAGTGAGAAAACAGTATAATACAAAAAAATAAAGAACACAAGAGGAGAATCGAGGATACGGTGGTTGAAATTGAAAGGGAAAAAAGAAAAAGAGTTTCTAAAAAACGGTAAAAAGAGAGGACGGTGTAGAATATCTAGGGAGACATAAATGATATGTGGAATAGAATTTCTGATGTGTTTGTAGATGATGTGAAAGATCGTGTGAAGTGAAAGTTTAGAATAATGGTGATCGATCCCTAATAGATGGTATAAAGGAGAGGAAATAGAAGAAGAAAGATATAAATATTACTTCATTTTTAATTAAAAAAAAAAAAACAACAAACAATATATGGCATATGATATTTAATGTACAAAAAAAATGTTATAGTTAAGTTAGATTCTTATCTCGCATTGAAATATAGAATAATAATATGCAAATTATTACAAATAGTTAACTTTTTCACGATCATTTCATTAATTATCTAATTTAAAAACAAGAAAGACTCAAAAATGCTAAACAAATTAGTTAGTATGCATTGATTATGCAAAATCAAATGGATAAATTAAAGAACTTAGTTTATTTTACCCTAAACATTTTTTCGCAAAGACAAGAACATTTTTATTTCTCTCTACAAGCATATGAAGTATTAGAAAAAATCATTCACGGTTGTTTTCAATTTCTGAATTAGCATCTCTAATATATATTGGATCTAGACAGTAGGGTGTCCCATAAGATTTTTTTTTTTTAATTTTTGTGTGTTAAAGCATAATTAGATTTAGTGGTAAAAATTACTTAACTTTTTCCAAAGTGAAGTTAAAATTTTTTAAATCTCAAAAAAAAAAATATATATTCATGATTATTATATTTATTATATTCATTATTTAATTAATATAAATTGTGGCTAATATTATGTAATACTAAAATTATTTGATATTAAAAATATTTAACTTAAAAAGCCACAAAAATTACTAAAAAATTGCGAATACGTATTTCGGAAACAATGTTATCATTTGTTAAGGCGAAGGGCTTTCTAACTATATGCCACTCTAAACAAGGATTAAGTGGACTGTATATATATAGGTAGGAACATCTGCTCATATCTGCCTTACTTGAAGACGGAGGGATCACCTACAGGTGACAAGAGGATGTGAGAGACAAGTGGTAACAGAAGTAACTTAAATCTATGAATAAAATTTGACTAGATGTGCAGTTATCACATAAATGAGTAAAAAATAAACGCTCTAAATAAATAATAAATAATATAAAATCTATCAACTAATAAATAATGTGAAACTCGACTAAAATAGAATATGTTCACTTAACATATTGAGGCTTATTAGTTTAATACAACACAACAATAAATACAATATAAAAATTCAACATTAATGGTTACACCCTTTTTTGACACTTATATAATAATGATTAATTGTAAATAAATAGATTCTCTAGATAATAATGTAAAACTCTGTTCTCTCTTTTTGTAATAAATTTAATCGATAACTCAACATGTGTTTATAATGCTTTCTCTAATAATTCAATAACAGTGAGTGTTAAACATTGACTAGATTAATATTAAGGTGATTTCAGTACACCAATCGTTCCAGATAACTAGTTACTCACTCAAACTCAATTAATAATCAATAAATTAAATTAAATCTATAATATAAGTGATCACTTAAGTGATAAGTGATAACAGGTTAGTTTTTCAGTAAGTTTTTCGGTTAATAATTTTAGTTTTCACTTAGATCTGTATAAGTTAGTTTGCGTTTTTCAATAGAACATTTAATATTTACTGAGTTACAAATCGTTGTACTAAAAAATTCATACTATTTTAACGTGTATTTTTTTTAAATATTTTAATTGGAATATTTACACATCGTTTTTTGGTGAGCATAAAATATTCGTACACTATCATTTTACAAACAGCTGTTTTATGCTACTCTTCGTTTGGCAATCTTGGAGACTTAAACGCTAGGTTATCAACTATATTAGTATCACTAACTCCTACGTATTTACATTGGTATAAGTTTGGTTGCATCAACATCTCAAGGAGTGAGTTTTGCTTTTGTGTATATAACTATGTCTAGTAAAGAAGATTCTCCTTTACCTGCCTCGAGAGAAACTTCTAGCCGGACTGGCAGTAGTGTTAAAACTTCGTCGTTAGTAAATTCTATAATTAATGAGGATCTTATGTCTGCAATGAAATCCTTCAAATCTGACATTCTATCAGCCAATAAGAGATAAGAGAAACGGCAAACTTTTATGTGCACACTGACTAGTTGTGTCACATAAAACTCACGTAAGACTAACAAAAATATAAACTTCACTAATAAACAATTAACACTTAAATAAATAATGAACTAATACTCAATAACATTACAAAATAGAATTTATAATTTAAAAATATCTGCTCAAATTACTTAACATAAAGTTACACATACATAAATCTTAACGATAACACATTTACTCATAATTAACAATATTTTAAAGTAATCTAATATTTTTTGATGGAAAGGAAAAAGGTAGAGGAAACAAGTGTAGTCTGGCCACGTGACTTGGACTAGGTTTAAGTGCCGGCTTCGCACATAAAGCGCAACACATAGTTCGTTTGAACTTGAACACCATTATCAATGCTTAACACATCCTCATTATTCAATAAACTAAAACTGTAGTAACTTATTGATTATAATAATTGATTTTTATTTCTTTCGTATTTAATTTATACTGTAAAAGGATTAAAAATAAAACTATTTTTCTTTACGTTAACCATTAAAAATGTAAAGAAACTGTTTTTATTACACACAAGGGTTTGTTTCGTTAATGTATTTACTAACAAAATTGCACTAGCTCCACAACTTTTTTGAAATACCTTAGTTTTTTTACTAAGTTTGATCTAAAATTTCAAAGTTCTTGTTTATGTTATTCTTAATATCTAATTATATCAGTGTATTGTATAAAGTTGTTAAAGGAACTCAAGGTATAACGTTTACATTTATGAAACACTCATTATTTTAACATTTTTAATAAAAAAAATTAATTAAAATATCATTGTGTTGGTAACAAAATCATTTTGAAAATTGTTTTCAAGAAATACAAACGTATAATACTGATACATATTTTAAAAATTTGTGAAATAAAATATTTCTATTTTTTATAGGCATTATAGTATTTTTAATATTATATGTAAATATAGTTTTTTATAAATGATATTTAGTCTATACCCATTGTTAACAGCTTAATAAAAATGATATTTACTTTCCTTCTTTCTTGGATAAAAGATTTATACTAAATTTTTGAATTCATTACTAGGAATAGGGACCCTTGAATTTATAAAGTTTATTTTAGTCATCCTGAGCAATTAAATGATATTTGAATTTTTTTTTTTACACTAATCAATGTATAGTAGAAGTATATGTATAGTTTAGAATTTAAATTATAGAACACGTGGGATTACCATTAAGACATTTTCAAAGATTAAGTGTCTCGGAAATGACCCAAATAAATTTAATAAATGTATAAAGTTTAAACCTAATTTATAACCAATACTTACTATTTGAAAAAATGTCAAGTGTTTTTTCCACCACAAATATTTTTGTATTTGTGGTCCTAGAGATGCTAAAAAGTAGTAAGTGTACATGACAATATGAACTATTAAGTTCAAAGCTAAGGGAAAAACAGCATGGTAATCTATAAAAAAAATTATAAACATTTATATTAATAAAATTTAAATCAGAATAATAAAAGTATATGAATTCAAGAACTTTTGTATAAATAATTTTTCATTTTATTAAATGGTAGTTGAAATAACTACAACCAAAAAATAAAAAACCCAGCACAGGGGGGTCGCGGCACAGTGGTGACGTGGCATAGTTGGATCAAGTATAATGATATCTGACAGTGATTAAAATCACTATAAAAAATGAACGCTTCGATGCAAATCTTTAGATTCCTGATTAAGATAAAGTATGTCGAATGAAAAAGAGATTATTAAAAAATATTATTTCCCATAAAAAAATTGTGTTGATCCATATAATTTTCAATAAGTTATAGCATTATAAAGTTAAAAATGTAAAATACAAAATCACCTTGAAGATAAAATAAAGTCCGAAAATTTTTTTTTTCATGATAAAGTATATTACATTAGCTTTAATTTAAGATATATATAAAAGTGTCAGACCTTCCGAAACATTTTCAAAAATCAAGTTGAAAAAATTAATTTTTTGTAAAAAAGTTGTCATTTTAAATCCCCCCCTGTGGGCAGGTAAAAAGTGAGATTTATAAAAAAAATATATCAAATAATAGGTAATGACATCATGCATCTATAAAAAAAAGAATTATAATGATGTGTTTATTTTTAAATAAGTTACGGCAGTTTTTAGTAAAAAAAATTGAAAAAATTTCGAAAATTAGCCATTTTTAAATTTGTAATTTTTTTGGAGGTTTCCCCCATTTACAGGGAACGAGGGAATTCTTTCAATTTTTGAGAGTAATGTCTTCGACTAAATACGATTTGTGATCTTTTGACGTATCATTAAAAGAAATCGGTTTGGTGAGAGCTGAGAAAAAGTGGTAACAGACACAAAAAAAAAATAATAAATTAACACATCTTAGTAAAACTAATACCTTCTCAGCTTCGCATCGAAGCTGTAAAGAGTATAATCAATGATTACTATAATTTTTATTACTACATTTGTAACAAAATGTAATTTTTATAATTTCATCATAGAATTCCATTAAATGACTATAACAGTCATTACGACGGTAATAAGTGAATGATTTGGTTATCAGATAAAATTGTTGATGTCATGTAGAAATACGTACCTTTGATCATTTTTAAATAAGCCCACGATGTAATAGCCATATTCATATGATGGTAAACATGTAAAAATGATACATGTGATTGCTTTTTTTTTAAAACAAAGAAAACCTGTAAATAAGCAAACATTTTATTTTCTTAGCCAAAACTAAAATATAAGATGCACAGAATAATCATAAAATCAAACTTAATTTCGTGTGTTTCTAATAATTCAATAATGTTCTTTTAAAATGTTTAGATAATTTAGTAATAAGTCATAAAAGTTGACATATAAAAATTGTTCATGAAAAAAAATTATTTTTTTAAACTTGATTTTTTTTTTATTATTTTATTTTTGTACTCACAAAAAAAGTTTAATTAATTAGTAAATTTCCATTTGAATTTTTGAGAAGATTTCATGATAAATTAATATTTTACACAAGAAAGATTTCAATGTTTTTAGTTATTGTGTAATAATTGATTAAACAACATTATTTCAAGTTCATTTTTTTTTATTCAAATTTACTGAACGATCGAAATAGAGTAAGACACTTATTTTATCAGAAACTTTTGTATCTTTTCTCAATTAGTTTTAATTTAAGTAGTATTTTAGTCATGATTTTATTGTTGCCGTTATTTTGTTATATCGATAGGTATCGATTACAATTGTATTTAAGGCTACGTAGTGGCAAGTTGTCAGGTATTCCATTTTTTATACCCCATGTTTTTTCTCCACAAAAATGTAAAATTCTCAAAAGTTTATGAGAAAATATCTTACCAAATTTGGATTACTCCGTAAATTTGAAATATAACACAACAAAAAAAAAAACCCCAGCACAGGGGGGTCGCGGCACAGTGGTGACGTGGCATAGTTGGATCAAGTATAATGATATCTGACAGTGATTAAATTCACTATCATAAAAAACGCTCGATGCAAATCTTTAGATAGTATTTAATTTTAAAAAATTTTTGAATTATTCCAAAAGCTACATAATCTGCTATTTCCTTATTTATATCCTAATTAAGATAAAGTATGTCGAATGAAAAAGGGATTATTAAAAAATAGTATTTCCCATAAAAAAATTATATTGATCAATACACTTTTCAATAAGTTATAGCATTATAAAGTTAAAAATGTAAAAAGTAAAAGGGTAAAAATGTAAAGGGTCACATAAAAAAAAATATATACTAAATAAAAGGTAATGATATCATGCATCTACAAAAAAAATATTTATATTGATGTGTTCATTTTTCAAAATGTTATGGCAGTTTTTAGTTATAAAAATTGAAAAAATGTCGAAAATTAGCCATTTTTAAATTTGTAATTTTTTTGGAGGTTTCCCCCATTTACAGGGAACGAGGGAATTTTTTTCAATTTTTGAGAGTAATGTCTTCGACTAGATACGATTTGTGATCTTTTGACATATCATTAAAAGAAATCGGTTCGGTGAGAGCTGAGAAAAAGTGGTAACAGACAAAAAAAACCTTTAAATAGTTTTAATTAAATAAACGTATGTAAACTGCTATAAATGATTGTATACTTACAGTGTCTATTAAATCTAACACTTTGTTTATGAAGTAAAGCCACACAATTTCATTTGCCTATAATATGAATTTGAAAATAACAATTTATCAAATTAATAATATTTATTTTTAGTCTATTAATTGTCTGATAAAATACACATTCTTTATAGTATTAATTTTATTAAATAAACAAAAGTATTATTTAACTTACCAAACTAAGTATATTATGTTTTTCATATATTTCTGACTCATTAACGCTGCAGCCATATTTTATAAATTTGTTGATTACTTGAGGTTTCAAAAACTGAAAGATATTTATCTATATATATTTATTACACATCTCGAAATAATTGTTACGATAATGTTCAATGGTATAATAATATTTAAAAAATACTTAAATGAAAATTACTTTACATTATACAAAATGCTAACTTATTTTGTATATGTTAATATGAATACAATAATTAAATAATTATATTAATTAAATCTGATACCTAAGAACATTATCATGAAGTTTTATATAAAAAAAATATTACAGGTGTTGATTTTCAAAAAGTAACAAAGAAAAAAAGTATCAAATAATTTATAAATTTTATTTAACTTACGCGAAATAGTATATAACCATTAAACAATAACTGAGATAGATTGTAGGCCATCAAAATGTATTTTAAACTAAATGCATTACGTTTTTCCATTAGTTTCGGACCAATTATTTGCACAAACAATAAATAGACTATTAAAATACTTAATATCGGCCATGGTGTTTTCATAAATGGCCAAGAACTAGTTTCTTCGTCTAATAACAATTTTTAAAATAAACAATTTTATACATGATACAAATATAACTAATTTTTTTTCAGTTGTTAATTATTTATTTTCATCGTATTCATATTATTTCCCCATAAGAAATACTTACAAAATTGCTATAACTTTTTTAAAAATAACCAAATCAATATAAATATTTTTTTTGTANAAATACTTACAAAATTGCTATAACTTTTTTAAAAATAACCAAATCAATATAAATATTTTTTTTGTAGATGCATGATATCATTACCTTTCATTTAGTAATTTTTTTTTTTATATGTGACTCTTTACTTGCCGACAGTGGGGGATTTAAAATGACAACTTTTTCACAAAAAATTAATTTTTTCAACTTGATTTTTGAAAATGTTTCGGAAGGTCTGACACTTTTATATACAGGGTGATTTTTTTATCATAACCCACTCAATTACTTGCAGAATAATAATAATTTAAACATTTTTTTTTTTTATTATTTTTAGTTACACATTATTCTTGAATTTTTAACTATGTAATACTTTTTAAGTTCATCCCTTATGCCTTGGAGGGGGGTCAACTTTGATTTTTTAAATGGTAACACATATTTTTAATTTAATAAAATGTTTGAGTTTTTAATTTAATAGTAAATGGCATTTGAATTTTTAATATAACTTTATTAGCTTATTAGATATAAACATTTAAAGTTTCAAAATTTTGAGTTAATATACATGTATAATACACATGGGATTGTAAATACAGGTAGCTAATTGGATTTTTATAATATCGATATTAGCAGGTACACAGCATTGTTATTATCGATTGTAGTAAGGCACATTGTTATGAGTTTATAAATACACTAACTGACAATACAGAAAGTATATCTATTGATAATCATAATTGATAATAAACAATCCGTGA